GCCCTGTCGAACTCGTCTTTAGTACGACTCTCAGACTATCAGGTGTGGTGATATTGGATTCCCGAGTCACTAGTGAATTGAATCCTGTTTCTTACGCCGAACGGCTTAAAGAACACTTTCGAGCCATTCGACCCACTTCTCCTCGAACCACTGCTCGCAAAGAAGGAATTTAGCCGGATTTGCACACTTGTCCGTTTGTTTTCATTTATATCGATGCAGTTCGAAAGCCGTTACCACCTCCCTACGAAGGCCTCTTCAAGGTGTTGTCACGAAAGCCCAAATACTTGTTCCTGGGGATGCATGGATCGAAGGAATCCGTGAGTACTGGCCGCCTTAAACCTGCCTATGTTGAGCCAGTTGGTGAAGGTTTAGACAAAGTTACTGTGACTGATTCCGTCTTGTTACCCCCTGTTAGTCAACCGACAGATGCCGCTGCATCAGAATCTTTGTGCACTTGCTCAGCCATTGATTCCAGACACACACGTTCAAGCCGTCTTGTTTCTATACCCTCTAAACTAGCTGAATTCGTTCCTTAAACAGCTTTATCGAGCGCTTCCTTACCAGTCGACGCACTACGGGAGGGGTTTTGTAGTAGTTATGCTTACATTTTTTATGTCGCGTAACCATTTTTATCACGACACGCTTTGGCACAGTTTGTTTGAATTGACGAGAAACTACACGAACATACTTCTTTGAAATCCGCGCTCCGGTCATGCTGCTGTTCGGCTGTGCGGCTGCTGTTTGTGAACGCTGCCTTCGTGTCTGCTTGAATGCTGCATATTTGCTGTGAAGTCACAAGTGAACGCCTGATTCCATTGTGTCCGACGTCCTCGAAATTTATCTCGTTCACTGTAGCCGGAACTTAAACGTACTTTGACTGAGTTGGCACTTTTTTAACTTTTTGCTTTTCCTAAGGGAGTTAAACCTTTCCGTATTGCATCGACCACTACAGGCTCTCTTTAACTCTTTGTCTAAACTTAACTACTCTGAATGTTGTAAAATGCTAAAACTGGAGCCATTGCGGCTAAGACGCACGGAGCTTGGACTCACATTCCTCTTTGATCTGATCCATAAGCGCGGTTTCACGCCAAATATCAATATTCACTTCAACAGAGAATCTAGTTACGCACTTAGAAATACCAAGAACAAAGTCCCGGGGTTCAAAACGAAAATTAATATGCAAAGAATATTCTTCCAAAGCGGATACACTGAGATGTGAAAATGCCTCCCTACTGAAGCGTGGACATGCGAATCACAACCGCTGTTTAAAAGAGCAGTTTCAAAATATCTGACTGTGCAATGCGTAAAAACAATGTTGTAACTAAATTGCAATGGAAGGGTGTTATTCGAGGAGAGGGCCGAGACGTAAGCGGGTTAAGAAGAAATATAAATAAATACATAAATTGTATATTCCTCGACGATACGAGAAGCTGTTCCCTAAATGGGACAGATCAAATGATGGTCCAACCTTTCCAAGACATTGCATTAATACATTTTCAGAAATAAACATGGGCGCAATTGCAAATTAGGTAACACAGAATAACCAGAATCGCTCTGCTATTTTTTTCCTGCCACTGAACCAGGATTCTTCACAATCACATGACAGATGTTTGGGCCGAAATGTTATGTGTTTGTGTTACGAAAACTAAATCAGGTACCATGGATACCGTTTTCGAATGCGTTGTCTAGGCACTGTAATGTCCCGAATATATTAATCACGTTTTGGACGTTTAACTGTTTGCTAATCGCAAGTTTATAATTACAAAGCGTGTAGCATTTTCTGGTATCACTTGGAACTTTGTTCCAAATCTTTGAGTAGGGGGTTAGAAAGAAACCTTCTCGGATTCTCGTAGTAAATTTTGGAATCATGACCTTTACCTCTTTGTTACGGATTGGATATCTGCTGCGAATTTGACAATTTATGATTCTGTAAAGAAAACATAGGTTCAGCTTCATTATCCGAAGCCAAAATGGGTCAAATCCAAGTTTATCTCATCGCTCTCCGTAGGTCAACTTTGAGGAATATCCACATAGCTTTTTCGGGAAGCGTTTCTGGACCCTCTCAAGAGCATGCTGGTCAGATTTCCGCAGATTAGACTGGACTACTGAACAGTATTCCGTACATGACAATACATGTTTTGTAAAGTGATATGCGAGATTCCGTGAGGTGAATACGATGGCAGGTTTAACCGATGACTTTCGAAACTTGAAAGTCACAATGTGCAGAAAAGTTAAACGTGACTAAATATCGCACGTCCAAGTCGCGAACTGCCCTGCATTGTGAGATATATGCGCCTTGTAGTAATAAACTGTCTGGCGGTACTTGGCCTTTGTACAACAAAATATTACACTTGTCCACGGCAAATGACATCTGCCACAGTTGGTACCAGAAGTCAAGGGCAGATAGGTCATCCTGAATGAGACGTACGGCTTTCTGGGTATTTGCACGTGGTTGTGAGTAGATAACTTTAATGTCATCAGCAAAGATAAATGTAACGCCATTTCTTATAGATGAAATGTGATAGGTACATTGCATCACTTGGTCAAGTCCTCCTGAAGAGGTGTATTGGAAAAAAGATATATTGTTGCCAGAACTCCCTTCACTCTTCTTCACCCGAACCACTTGCCTTCTTTACTCGGGAAAGCATAACTCACAGACACACGAACAAGTGTGGAGTGCAGAGGAATTACGAACTGAGATTGTGATAACCATTTTTGTCTCCACTCCTTCATATTCTGCTTACTCAGCCACGCCTACCTTGCAGCCATACCAAAAGGTGTGAGCTGATAAGGAAACGCTGACTGAATCTATCCGTCCTCATTCGCTTTTACTATTCGTTCTTCTCTTACTCGTCTATGCTTCCCACGTTGCTATCATGTAAACATGTCAGGTATCACGGTGAAGCTAATCGATTCTGTTTCCATCACTATTCCAAGCAATTCTCTCTCATTTTTCCTCTTACACACTTAAGCCTAGCGTACAGTCTTATGAAAATGACTGCGCCAGTTGACACGTGCCAATCATATTCACCTCACACACACATACAGCACTAGTTCAATAGTTCAATAGTGTATGGTGGGATAAAAAGCATAACTTTACAAGACCCACAGGATGGATATGCAAAAGAAAATCAAAATCAAAATGTTCCAACGTGGAACGTGAAGCATCAATGGTTAAACCATTGCACTTTCTCAAATTGTTGTGTGGCGTTTATCACTAAGATGAAAGTCTAAGAGTCTTTCGAATGTAGTCATGTCTGGCGCGTTCACCACATATTTTGCTAATGCATTCCAGTGGGAACAGACTCTAAGTGAGTAAAAACACTTTCTACAATTCAGACAGGAGTTTTGCGGCATTAGTTTCAGGTGGTTGTCTCGGGTTTGTTTGTAAGGGGCTAGAGTCAACAGTGATGTACATGGATGCTCGCTTTCAGTTAGTATCCGGTATGTGAGAGTAAGATCTCCGTGAAGCCGTCGGTATTTTAATGAGAACACACCGAGTACACGAAGAAGCACTTCGTAACTTAGACCGGATAGTCCACGCGTTGCCTTTGTGGCTCCTCTTTGGGGTTGTCCCAATAGGCGAATGTCTCGTTTTAACCATGGACACCAGACCAGAATTGTATATGCAACGGGAGGACGAATATAGGAGTTATTCAGCATTTGTACTAGCCGACGCTCAAAGGCGCCGATTGCTTGCCTCAAAAATCGCAAGTTCAAGTTCGCCACAACTGCTGCTTTCGAATATTGGAGCGAATTGCCAAGACTCACTTGCACGATTATACCTAAGTCGTGTTCACTAGTCATGTGTTGCCCCAAAAGGGATGTGTTGACGAGGCTGCTGCGCACCGTCAGCAGGTGGCACTTTGCAGGGTTCAGTGGAAGCTGGTTCCTTTCTGCCCATACGTTAATCCGAGACAGGTCTTCCTGGAGGTAGACACGGTCGGATGCTGAGCAAATTGCTCGCCATATTTTAGCATCGTCTGCAAATATTTGTGTCGGAGATGGAATGCCTGCTGGAAGCTCATTAATGTAGACTAAATACAGTAGCGGAACGAGAACGGATTCTTGTGGTACACCACTGAAGACGTACAGGCTTGCAGAATGAGTGTCGGCCACTCTTACCTTGATTGCTCTGTCGTCTAAGTAGTCTTCTAACTAGGTGAGCAGGGAACCATTGATACCGTAAGCAGCAAGCTTTTGGAGAAGAAAGCAGTGGTTGACCCTGTAGAATGTTTGAGACAAATCCAAGTAAATCACATCTAGTTAGACTCCTTCATTAGCCGCCCTGGTCCATGAGTCCCGAGTAAACAGCAAATTGGTGAGACAAGATCGTCTGTGTCTGAAACCATGTTGGGCATAAAAAATTAGTTGTTGACTTTCAAAGTATCGCGTTAGTTCATCTGCGATTACCGATTCCATCACATTTGATAAAACAGGAAGGAGTGTATTAGGTCGATATTTGGCAGGATCCGATCGCTTACCTCCTTTGTATATTGGAGGGATAATTCCATTTTTCCACTCAGATAGGAGTGTATGGGAGTTAAGCAGACCCTGGAAAAGGTTGCAAGTGATGTCGCTATGGTGGGAGTAAGGGTTTTCAGTACTTTTGGGCAGATCATGTCGATTCCAGGAATACTGTATTCCCGGAGAGACGGTAATTTGCTGGCAACAGCTGCTGGGGTAAAGGTGAGGCTGGATAAGTCAACGACATTTTGTTTGCAGTTGATAGGGCGAAGGTTCCATGGTATTTGTAGCCACCGAGCCAAATTACAGGCATATAGCGTTCGCGACATCCACAGCAGTAGTTGTTAGGCCACTGGCCGTCTTGACTAGTGGTATTCCGAGCCTAACCTTTCTTGTGCCATTCACAAATCTGTATAACAGTTTGGTGTTACTCGTAAACTTCAGCATCCTGGTCACCTGCCATTCGTACTTATTGACTCTAATGAGCGACCTGCAGTAGTTTCTGATGACGTTATTCTGCCACGTGATATCACATGAGCTTAGCGAATGTTGCCTCCAGATTTCATCTTTTGTTGAGCCATTTTCGTGTTCTGCTTCGGATCAACGTATTGGTCCGGCGTGATGCTCCGAATGGTACAACCTTCGATGCTGATTGCATGACCCAGTTAATTTTGTCTTTCAGTTCATTCCACGCGGCATTCACTGAGCTGTGCGTCTGTGGGTCCCAGTCAAAGGTTGCTGATAAGTTGTGTAGCTTAAACCAATCCGTAATAGTTCTTTTAGTCGCTCTTTATTTATCAACAATACTGGCATAACACACATAACCAAATATTAACGTTGAATGGTCGCTACTGCCCAGTGAAGGATCGTATGCTTCTGACTCAACCATCAACTCTTCATTAGTCAGGAGTAAGTCTAGGAGTGATGGTTTGTTTGAACCGCGGTGTCCGGTTGGTCGATGCACATGGTTATAAAAAACTGCCATGTCCATAAATTCAAGAGGCTTCGATTTATATGGTGGTCCATTAGGGGATATTGATGCTATTGAAGGAACACTAAAGGCGCCCATTATGAGACAGTGAGAGTACTTTTGTGAAACAGCATAGCGGAGGGCATTTAACAGAATGTTATCGCTGTCTGCTGATGAGTTCGGACACCTATAGATAACTGCTAAGAGGCAAGCATCACTCGTCTTCTATGAACCAACATCTCGATCTGTTAGGTTCAGTCGGCACCATTCTCTGTCTCCGCCCATATGTACAGCTGCTAAAACGAAAGTAAATAAATACACCCGTCTTGCACCAATCTTTTTAGAACGTCACGATGTATAGTAAATGATTTACCTACATCAGCTTTTATCTTTTTCTATCGTTAAAATTGCTTCAAATCCTTTGTCTAAAGAAATGAAAACTCGGTTCCGTCTGTACAAGGAGATCTCCGTCAGGACGCCATGACGTATCCTCTGCCCAAACAAGGCTTTGAACTGCATAAGCCTAACGGATAGAAAACGTTTTTTATTTCTGCCTGGCATGGAATATCCTGCTAAAGCATATGAAACTATGGTAACAATATGATCATGTCGAACAGGGCATGCCTCATATAAACGAGAATTTCCATTATTAGTAGCAGTAGTAGTGTTATTAGATGGCGTGGGTAGTTTATAGTTCAATGTCATGTATGTTACGGGCATCCAGAGGGCAGAGGTAACCACAATATCAACGATTAACCTTGCAAGCAGCAACTAATTGAGATGAAGTGTGGTCACTGAGGCGAGTACTGTTTGGCGATGAACAGTGGAGAATTCTTGTATGAATTTTGAAAAGAACCCGAAACCGGCTGCAATGAACTCCCTTTAAAGTTACAGTGAGAAAACCTACTGCATCCGCTTGCGCCATTTCTCCGGCACAATTGCAGTCTGAAATTCTATCATCTGTCGCAGTTCTGTTTGCAAGTCCACGTATTCTGTGAGGTCAGTGGAACGAATCAATCGAGCCTGATCTGATCGAACGTACTTCAGACTAAATGCGCAATTCGTCTGCATTTGAATGGAACTCAACCTGAGGTTGAGTGTAGACCTAGGTTTGTCCAGTAGTTCGGTACCGCACAAGTTGTCAATGTTTGAATTTCACAGATTTGTGTTATACCCACCTATTCCTTTGCTTCCTATAAAACACGACTGCCTATGAGGCAGTGACACCCCGGCTCGAGCTAGTCTTATGTTCTCTCTCTCCGAGTGAGTGGAACCAGTCGGGGGCGGTACAACAGGTAATGTGCTGCTATCCAGTATCTAAGCTTCATATCTCTTGACCACCGATAGGCCTTCCGTTCCATGACGACGATTACGCCATTTGTTTAATAACACATGGAAGCGAGTATATACACGATAACTTTCATTTCACACCGAGTACCGGAGTTGTGAACATCTGAGTCCAGATCGATTAGCTCACTCACGTCCGCACGTATCGGAACTACCACGTCGACACGAATCACGACGCCTGTGTAGATAAACGTCGTGACATGCAAGGCACAGTCCAGATTAGAAGTGATCCCTGTATAGCCCGTAACATGTTGGAGGTGACTTTGTAACCAGATGTGTTTTGTCGCCGCTGACTGTTCACGTCCCCACGCCCGCAAGAAGAACACGAAGATGAACCCGGACCGAGTTGTGTGCATGGAACACTGCTTCCTTATGTAGTGCACAATATTTTATGAAGCAAAGCTACTAAAGCACGTCGGAGAAAACTAATCTCATATGAAACAAAGAATTATACGAGTGAATGAGAAGTGACAAAAGGAAGGACCAATCAATTGAGTTCGAGGAAGTGGTCTTAGTGGAAATAGGCGTCTGAGATAGCATCCATTATACACGACGTAGGCCAGCCAGTCGAAGCAAATGTATGATGCGGTTAAACAATAGTCAAGAAAACAACGAAGGCGAGGCGAAAGTGGACGACTAAGAATTGTAACAATAAATATTATGTCCATTGAGCATTCCCCTAACAAAACGGCTTTCCAGTGCAGTTTAAATTTTAGTGACACGTGCTACCAAATGACAGGTCCCCATCGCGCGTACTTTAGCCACTCCGGAAATCTACTTAGGCATGGAAACGACCATGAAGCAGCAGTGGCTGTAAAGCTGTGTCATGCGCGAACATTTAACGAGGAATTAAAACAGGATTCTTTTTCATCGATCAGCAATAGGAGAGTGCTGCCTGGCACATACCGTGTGTGATGATGTCTGAGACCGGAGGCGGCTGGAATCGATGCGTTACCGATGCACTGGAGGCCAATCAGATGAAAGCCGAGCACGCACGACTGGTCTGGCCCAGAGCAATGGAAAAACAGCATGAATTCGCAAAGCGGAAAAGCAGATTGGTCGGCCGTATGACGAGTGGATGGCATACGCCTGGTCGTGTTAGTTTAGACGAAAGCAACGCGTAATTTGAACCCGTCCCCTTTTAACGCGCGCATTCGGGTGACACGCAGAGGTTTCGAAAACAACCGTACGCACACGACCGAGGAACTAGGCGCGCGAGATAGGCGCACACGGGACACACGATCACGTGACCACGCGGTGCCCAACCACCCGCAAGAGGAGACAAGGGAAGGCGGAGTGGACCTCCGAGAATTTTTTACGACCCACAAATCTCGAATCACAGTTGGCATGATGCGTGATTTCGTAGGTAAAATGAATCAACACGTAGGGCTGATGGTTTACGAAAGAACATTATTCACTTTAGCCCAGTTGTGCCCCGACTCCCAGTGGTTGGATCCTGCTACGTTGTGAGCAGGAATGGAACTCAGCGTCTGGCAGCCCACGCGCTGGATTTTGTGGCGCATGTTTTCAGGGTTACTTGACGTGTCCACAACAGTACTAACCCAGGCTTTCGTGTAGTTGACAGATAATTTGCTTTTAAATGCTGTTATGCAAGTCGGGAGCACCTCCGTTCACTAGGTTTATACTTTTCAACTGCGTCTGTGGTAAATTACCAAAATGCACTATCATTGATGATGGTTATTAAACTAATTTCTCTTTTTCTTGCTCATCATCATCATACACGTTAGCTAGAGGTGGGAAACACCTCAGCTACTGTGCCGCAATACACAGAAAAAAGGAGAGAAAAAATGCAATTGCCGCAAGCCGGCTGAGCTACCGGTAACGGATGGGCATCTTTCCGGTAAGCTACCAGCCGGCTACTGTGCATCAAAAAAATTACTATGCAAAATTATATAGGGCTAAATAATGAGATCGTAGTTGGAGGGGGATGCTAAGAGGGATGGGATGGGACAAAGAAACTCACAGCACGAATGCCACTGAGGTCGGCTCCTTGCCATATCAGCAAGTGTGTCCAACCAAACGTGTTCAGCCTCTTTCGGACCCCAACCAGGGAGCCGAGACGTTCCAACCGAGGCCAGCTCAGAAGTGAGGGCCTTCATTCCTCTGGACCAAGTCATCGCTTGGCCACCCCTCCTCTTCTTCCATCCACACCCCCGGCGCGCAAACAACGGGAGTCGGTGGGCTGGCATGTGTAACACGTGGCTGAGCCATCGGAGCGTGGTGCGTGAAATGACGGTGCTTCATTTTCTTGCTAGAGTAGACTATTGCACGGTTGTAACCCTATGCACGTTACTTAATGACATGTTTCCCCAAGTTCATACCCATGATATGGTGGGATGCAGAAGTGTAGGCCAGGTAAGAATCAACCGCGCCTACGAACCTCATGCCTTCCAGTCATCTGTATGAGTAGGTTCCCTAAACAGATGTCTACTTGCCAGCAGGCGACGGTCTACACAGGATGCATTTCTAATCGACAACACTGCTAACCCATCGCCATGTTTCACATACTGCCCTTGGTCAAACATAATTTCGAATGCGAGAATTCCCATACTTCATGGCCAACGCGAAGCAATTCATACGTACGTAGATGCTCTCATCTCTAAGAATAGTTGTTAGGATGCACGGAACCATATGCCCTGATTTATCTGTGTTTACTCATAGTGGGTAGGACTCGAAAGCCGCACCACTACCCAGAGCGCTTTATCATTGTGAAAGCAGAAAAACCTTCTAAACGATGTAGAAGACCACATTAAAATCACGTGTAAATCCCAGGGAAAACGGTGAAAGGAAGTCTAAAATGGAAGACCGGGGCAATAACCGCATGGTAAGGAACTAGGCTAAATTACCAAAATCAACTGGGATTAACCGAGACAAAGTGGCAAAGCACGGTGACTGCAATCTCAATATCGACATCAGACAGTATGCTATCGACTACTTGCAATGGGTAAGTAGCACAGGCGAATCACGGAATTTCATGAATAGTGCAACTGACGTAGCGGCTGATAGAGAAATTCCGACAGGCAACAGCCGGCGAGAAGCCGTGCAAATGGGCGTGTTACGCTGTCATATGCTTCAAGGATTCACGAGAGAATCAAGCAGACCCCAGTCACGAGTTAACTGTTTACATCTTTGCAAGAACGCAAAGCGCATAATCAGTAAAATTACGAAATAGGGTGCGGAAAAACAGTAGACGAGGGCATCGAGATTGGGATTTGTGGAATAGCGAAGAGGAGATTTAACTGTCTGGATTGATAGGCCGATCGCCCTTTTCAGGCAGCAGTTGCCAGTTGTGCAGCCTCTCCTTTAACCATGGAGTTCCCCTGCTTCAAGACAACGTTCACTTCAACGTTGACAGCGACCGGATGAGAATTGAGTCACTCCATTAGCCGACCAACAGTGCTAACTTTCTTGTGTGTCTAGGAGTTTACACATGTTTGCTTGCTATCTGAAAATAGCGATCAAATTAGCAAT